ATTAAGGATATAATATTGATTATGATATATGAAAATTTTTAGGACTCCATATTTGAAATTTCTAAGTATAGTTGTTCAAAGTGTTAAATGGTTATTAATTTTTATACCTGTTCGTGAGGGTAAAATTTCATTGTTAATGATTTATTAATTGGTATAAATATAACAATTAATCATGTGTTATTATCTTTTAATTATTACCCAATTTGCTCCAATTTTTATTTATACCAATAATAGAAATTGTAATAATTACGTATATATGTTTTTCTTCAACGATTAATCATGAGATCAAGAATATTATATTTTTATGAAGAAGATCAGAGTAATTTTAAAATGTAATTACTAAAAATATTGATAATATTATATTGATTACGAAATATGAAAATTCTTAATACTCCATATTTGAAATTTCTAAGTATAGTTGTTCAAAGTGCTAAATGGTAATTAATTTTTATGCCTGTTCGGGAGGGTAAAATTTCATTGTTAATGATTAATGGTTGGTATAAGTATAACAATTAATCATGTGTTATTATCTTTTAATTATTGCCCAATTTGCTCCAATTTTTATTTATATCAATAATAGAAATTGTAATAATTACATATATATGTTTTTCTTCAACGATTAATCACGAGATCAAGAATATTATATTTTTATGAAGAAGATCAGAGTAATTTTAAAATGTAATTACTACAAATATTGATAATATTATATTAATTACGATATATGAAAATTCTTAATACTCCATATTTGAAATTTCTAAGTATAGTTGTTCAAAGTGTTAAATGGTAATTAATTTTTATACCTGTTCGTGAGGGTAAAATTTCATTGCTAATGATTAGTAATTTATATAAATATAACAATTAATTATGTGTTATTAGCTTTTAATCATTACCTAATTTACTCCAATTTTTATTTATTCCAATAAATTCCATTATCATTTATTTTCATTTCGTTATCAAAAAATATTCGCGTCGAGAAATGTGGGTAATTCACTCCGTTCGTCATTTGTATGAATAAACTCTCGCCTCGCGAGTAAAGATTTATTTCAATAACCTGTAAGAGTCAGAGGAGTTCAATTAATCGGCGATGTAACCCTTGCCTCGCGATATCGAGTGACTCTCGTAATAAATCGTCGCACCGTGAGCCCACAAGGCTACAAAGCCCAGTGAAAAATTCAGAAATTGCTTTATCATCGAGCTTTGTAGACTGCCAGTATTGAGCAGCCAGTCACCAGATGCGGCAAGTGACCATCGACAACCAAATACCGTTAGTTGCGTCTGAATTTCCCCAATCCGACTAGATAGAGGCAAGGGTGCACTAACTACCCTTTCCTTCTGACGTATCCACTTCGTTTAGAAATCACTCGACCAATAAAACGCGGTAGTTCGTTTTCACCTGGTAAAATTTGTGTTCAATGGAATCATTTCGTTCGTTTCGTTAAATGACACAGGCAGACACTCTGTACTCGGTTAACCTAGTCTAGCCACATCGCACCGTTTTCACTTATTCATTAGCGCTTCGCTGCAAAATATATTTTATTATTTTGGAGAAACTTCATTGATAATTTATTACGTCTATCAATTGTATAAAGTACTATAGAATATTTGAGATTTATAGGACGGTTTTGTTAAAGTATATTGTGTAATTTTTCTGTCTTGAGAGTAACAAGTAATGGTAGACCATTAGGACCATTTTTTGATGAAATTTCAAGCCAATTCATTTTTCTTATATTATGCTCAAATGAGACTAATTCTGCAAATAGCCTAACACAAAACTTCAAGAGATACGATTTTGTGACTTATTTTATAATAAATTTCTTCACATTGTAATAAAATCATACTATTTTTGGCAAAATAACCAAGAATTGTAGTAATCAGTTTGTTCTAATTTATTTATAATAATTTAAAACGCGAAACTTTTGATATTTGGAAACGAAATGTGTATGACTTAGGCCACTTTCACTGTCACCAGCGCAAATGTAAAGTGAGAATATAGCTAGTTATATCGTCATATCATCAACAGCGCGTTCAAGGTTTGCCTAAGATTCGTTGAAGTGTATAAATGGACCTTAACCTAATCTAATACACTGTGGACATGTATAATAACGAACTATATACTTCTCCACACTACTGTAGACACTATTATTCACTCTTAACTCCTTACTAACTGTAAACGATAAAAATATACTAAAAATACAACCAAAAATTCGAAAAATGCACACTCATGAAGAACACGAAACACTAATTATCAAATAATCAATCATGTACAGTTTCTAATATACTTCTAATAATTCCAATTTTTAAAGCACGCGAGTTTCAATTAGATCAAAATTTATTGAAAGAAACGTTATTAGTCTCCAAATTTCGAACACGTCAGGGAAAGAATTCATCACTATACGAAGACCCTTCGTGTCACAATCATCCTCTCATCCTGAGCATTCCCATCAGCGCCATTTGCACACCTAATCCAAAGCAATGCATCAAAGTGACCACACGATGCTACTCCCTCAAAGTAGCCCCTAGAATCGTGGGCAAGAATCGGGAATTACCCTTCGAATCTCATCCTCCCATATCCTCAACATCTGAGTACAGCGAGACCGTTATCACTTCCGGTATAATCTACAAGAAAATATACACAGATATCGTGACACGGTGATTACATTGCGTGTTAATATTTTAGCATCCTAATGATACTCTGGACCATATCTGGAAATAACGATGTCTGAGAGACAATTCTACATATTGTCGAGTAATTTCCTGGTAACAGCTGAACGTACAGACTGCCAGGTAACCACGATAGTCTGCTTCACGTTTACACCCTTCTCCTTCCACCCTGTCTTGACTATTATTTTTCCATGAAACTCTACTGCACAATTTTTTGCTTCCTGTTACAGAATTTCTCTAATAAAGTCCACGACGATGACTAGTGGTAGATTCGGTGTAGATTTAAGATTTCAGTTAACTCGCGAAGAATAAATTTTTCTACCCTCGTATTAAATTCTCTCGTCACACAGATCGTAGCTTATTAGCAATACTTGTGTCACCTTATATATTTCCAATACGAAACGTAGCGATGATTTATTTCCGTCTAAAAGAATTTATTTATACGACTTTACTTTTATGAACTTTTATAATAGAATTTTCTGCAAGTTTAATTATTTCCAATATATTACTATCCATATAATAGTATTGCAACGCGACATTTCTTTCCTCGAAACAATCACGAATATTCGGAGCAAAAAGGAATTACTGACATCCCCTGTTTTCATCGTCGAAGAAAAGGAACCCATAAATCAAAAACAGATACGGTTACCGCACTCTCGAAAATAATCAGCAGGAGCTTTCAAAAAATGTTACAAATTCGACAAGAAGAAACTTGAAGCCAGTTACTGTTTCGTCATAGCACGACACCATCTTGTACAGCCCAGCTAACAGGAAATCTATTCGTTGGTTCCCACCCCGCCACACATTTCCCCACCACCGTCTCACCGAGATTCACTTTAATCCGGAGCTTTACGCCGACATAATCAAAGCCACATAACGCTCGTTGTGTCGATGACGACGTCGCAATAAGTATATCGAACGAGTCGATGCATCTCCAGGTGACTTATTCCAGCCAGAGAATCATTCGCGATATCAAAACGAAGGCTATATATCACGAGTCCCATCAATTACCTCGTATATTCTAATACATGCAGATGCATATCAGGCTAATAGTCGTCCGCTTCGCTATACGCATTATATATTGGAACAATTACGTGTTTCCTCGACGAGAAATTCCGACGCTTGTTAATCGTCATAACGGCCAGCATCCTAGCAAGTTCCAGACATTTATTACAATCTTAAGGTGTTCACCGTAGTATCGTTGCATATTGAAATCGTAGTCCAATTAATACGAGTCACAATCTGGATTGTTTAAGGGAGTTAATATATTTCTCAAAGAACTACTCGATGATTTCTTTAAGGTTTAATCATACTTGATTCTTCTTTCGTTTGCCACCCCGTCTGTTCAGACGGAAATCGTGATTGACTTAAACAGGTTTAATCTGTGTCTAAGGAAATTGTTCGATAAATTCTTTAACCCCCTTGACCACTTCCTTGACATATTGTTTGATTCTCTGTTCATTTTGACATGCATAAATAACCACTGTTTTTCGAGTTATTGTTTCTAATGAATCATCTGCTAGTTAAATTGACATGCAACTTTTACTCGTTTAATTTACCCGACAATCTAGAGATACTTGTGTGTGCACTTTATTTCTTAATGCGGCGATACGGGAATGTTTAACCCGGCTGGTAAATTCGTTTTATTCAATTACTCGGTCTAATTATGCGAATAAATAACAGACTTTATGCCCGGGCTATGTTAATTTATCACTTTTACGCGGTGCTTAAATATCAGGAATTATCCTTGGAAGCCGAACCTCGGCTACCCCGAGCAGCCGACCTTAACATCCGTGTACACGCGGGCCCGCCACCCACTTCCGGCATGTGCCATGCATCCCACTCTGGGGATATCGATATTGAAACGTAAAAAAGATTCAATCAGTCGCGAAGTTTCATCGCCAATCAATCACCCCTTCCCCGTGCCATCCAGCTTTAGGACGCGGAAGCTCTCTCGCGCGCGCAGCCTGCACTGGCGCGGCTGATCGCGACGACGACCCTAAAATGGCCGAGGGGGTGAAACGAACAGACTCGAGGAAGGGGGCGAAGGAGAGAACGAGGCGACAGGGGAGGGAATACAAGGGAGGTGGAGAGAGAGAAACGAGCTTTCGGGTTGCACGACCGAGTCGACGCACTGGAAGCTTTCCGTGCTTGCGGCGGGAGCCTCAGTAGCCGCTTGTACGTCGACCGGAAGAGCTCTTCGCGTTACGTCGTCCCGAGACGCGCAGCGCGCCATCGCCGACCGCGAGAGATCGGCAAATCGAATTTGTTCGTCGGTCAACCCGCGACTCGGCTTCCCCGTTTTTTTTTTTTTTAACCACCTTCGTCGTCCCCGGTCAGCCCAGATTAATCTCCGTGGTCGATTAATCCGCCTGGTATCCGGAATCAGTGGATCTAGCAACGGACGAAGCAACGAATTCGGCATTCTCCGTAATCTGGTGAAGTGTTTGGTGAACGAAATCTCTGGGAATAAGGTGTGACAACGCGGGCTAGACAGCAAGTGCTAACATGAACACGGAGCAGTGAACCGTGAGCGTATGAGTGCATAATCACGAAAAACGAGAAAAGCGGAGACACGATGAGAAGTGTTAGAAGATATCGAGAAGCGCGACCTTCCCTTTTCGCGTCCCTTTTCGTCATCCTCGCTGTTTTTGTGATCGGTAAGAAATCAACCTGCGACTCAGAGAAACGCAGTGACGCAGTTTCACGCATCTTTTCCTACCTTTCAGTTTACAACTAGCGTGCTGGTATGCTACCTTTGGTACACCTCACGGATCCAAACGATTTTTGCGATACTTTTTTTTTGGAAAAAGGTGAAGCGAAATTTTTTAATTCTCGAGGGAAACTGGATATACCATAGTGAAGGAACCGTTCGAATCGCGATTGCATCGTAACCCGTTGCTCTCTCGTGATCGCTAGAGGACCACATTACTGGCTGCTGGCGTTTGCCGCTGACCTCATCTGACAATGTCTCGGATCCAATCTGGAGAATCTTGTACGCCAGTCTGGTGATCTAGAAATCGAATATCTTCGACCAAGTAGACCGTAGGGTGGGATAAAAACGAAATTAATTTCGGACGTTAGAGGACTCCCGAGTGACAGACGTGTCCAGGCGAATCCTAATGCTAGTGATCGACGCTCTCAGCGATCGATCGAAATTCTTCGCGTGCCGGAGCTCCTATTGCTTCTTTCGTGCCACTCCAATTCTAGACACTGCTACAGTTTCTACCAAATTTCGTCGAATCCTCGCTTCTCGATACCTAGAGACACCAACGTTCCTACAGCCTGCCTACAGAACCGGAGAAGATTGCTAGGGACTGGATTGTTAGGGACGAATCATTCTTCTGACTGTTGGAAATAATGCTTCCACTTCTTGACCAAGTCAAGGACACTTTATTGTAGTTACCGAATTGACCGAGACCAAAGCGTTAACGTGAAACGTATTTTAGCGTAGTTTCCTCGGCAGTTTAACGGGGCAGCATCTCCCATAGGGGTCTGTGATTTTTAAAGGTCCGCTGAGCTTTCGTTGGCGCGCTTTTCGCGGCTGGAAGCGACGGGCTTTTTCGAAACGACACGCGAGCCCATTCGTCTTCGTGAAGGTGTTCGCAGCCCTGTTTTTCCAAAGTCGAGAAATCGCGCCACGGATACGTGTTTCGGTCACGTAACTTCGTGGATAAAGGGATCGCACGGACGTCGTCGAGTGCAAAAACGTATCTCCCCGGCGTTATTCGATTTAGAAAAGCTGTACACTTTCGGAATTTTCAACTGGCTCTATTAGACGTCGATGCTCCTCTCTCGGTGAATCTTCCGTAGGGTGGCGTCCACAGGGCTGCAAAGGACTTCCGCGTCCACCTCGAACGGCGCGTTACCAGCTTTCTTCTTTTGTGCACCATGACAGAGCCGTGGAACGGGATTAGGGCGGTTTTTCCCACGACAATGGCCAAACGAAAATTTTCATCGCCGGAAGAGGGCGAAACGAGCTACGAGTCATACGTGGACGGATTTCTATTGCGTGCACAGATTTGGATCTGTTTTGTACCGAGGTTCTGGTGGTTCGTGTTGATCGTCTTTGGTGGTGTAATTATTAGAAGCATTCGTTGTCGTTGCTTTTTAGCAGCTTGAAAATTGTTTAAATTCTCTTTATTCAGTGAAGTTTTGTTAGTGTCGAGTAGATACGATTGGTACGTATTTATGGGGGTGGGGTTTCGACGTTGGTAATTAACGATTATTGGAAATGTAGTTATCAAGAGTGCATTTTTAACACTTTTATTGCAAATTTTGAGGTTTTGTGTTTGAAATATATGATTAAGATTTTCGAGGTTATTGTAAGGGTTGAATAGTCGGTTGGGTAGTGGTAGATGAAGGTGAAGTTTAAATATCAGTGATTAATGATCATTGCGAACGCAGCTTGCGGGATTATAATTAATAATCCTCTATTTAACAATTTTAAGAAATTTATGCTCGAACGTAATTTAATTAGAATTATTAAAAGTATCTTCGCCAATACTTCTATTGAATATTCTGAGTATTGTATATTCAGAGACATTGATCCAAATTTTGAAGTATTCCAAGTGTTGAATAGACATTAACTTCGACATCAATTTGTGAGAATAAAGCCTCAACGATAGTAATTAAAATCAGCTCTTAACACAATTATTAAAAATGTCTTAATAACACTGAAAAATACTGAAAAATTTTTGACATCTTACGTGCGAAATAATTAATCGAAATTTCGAAATATTTCAAGTTTTAAATAACAATTATCTTCAATACTTCTTCCTAAACCAAAATTTATCACAAATAAAATTATTAAAATTGGCAATACAATTTTAGAAAATATTTAAAAATCCACATCCAAAATATTCACTTAAAATTCCAAACTTCTCCAACAACTGAATATCCATTTTATACTTAAAATATTTCTCAGTGCTTAAATAAATAGAACCAAAATAAAGCACAAAAATATATCCAAAAAATGGCGTCACAATGGTCCTCTCGTCGCAGTAAAAATTAAACGTCCCTGTTTACGCGATAATCGAATTTCATAGTTCTCAAGAACCGACGTTCGAATAATACAACCGGAAGTGGTCAACCAAATGGACAACCGAAGAATGAAAGTGCAACATGTATTTCGCATCGCAATTAAGTAACATCCACGAAATAACCGACGATTAGAAAGCAATTTCATCACCACCAAGATTACCATTCGCATCGTGGTAAAATGGAGTATGGATTTCGGAATAGAGCTTAAAGCTCGTAGGCGAGCGCGAACGCTGACGCGAGAAGAAATTAAAGCGGAAATCGAGTGAAAATAGAGGCACGATAGCCAAGCGTTTGAAAAACGAGAAACTTAATTTGCAAACACGAGAAACTGTCTGGAAGGAGTGGTCCTTTCATGTAGAAAACATTAGTCAAACTGAAGGAGCCAAGGAGGAAGCGAGACGTCGTCGGGAACTATAAAATAACGTAAAAGAAGCGATTCTTCCGGAAACTTACATAATTTCTTGCCGTTTTTACGATCTCGATGGTTCGGGTTCCACGAGTGGGCGAGTCTTAAGCTCGCTTTTAATTCATTTCCGCCAACTTTTACGTTCAATTAGCGAAATTTAGTACGGGAATGGACCACGCACGGAAAATTATCGGTGTCCCAGCGAATCCCTTTATTAGCCACGAATCGATTCACCGTCGTGTGTAAGTTCGATTAAAAATTTTACCGAATCGGGGCTAATTTATCTTCGCGGAGGGAAGAAAATCGCGGCATCGTGAATCACACGCATCGCGCGAGGAATTCGATGAAGTCATCCACTTGATAGGTCGTGTGTCGCTGATTCCTCTGATTCCGAGTTGTTGTACAAAGTGGCAAGTTAATATCGAAAGCGAGTAAAGAATATGATTACGAGCCAGTGGTAATAAGAAGGAAAATTTAATGTGAAGTGCTTCTATTACGTGTAACACCTAAACTACGTGTGCTTTCGAAGAACAGGGTAAATCAGGTTCACTGGAAATACATTATGGTTGGTAGAGAGACCTTCTGCAACATGGCCCGTAGTCTATAGGCTACGAAGTTATTGCACCGATAGGGTAGTAAACAGTTCCTCGTGTAAAAATTGTGTAAAGAGATGGTACATTATGGTTTATCGTAATTGCTTGAGTACGTGTATCGGTGATCGTCGAATTTCATTTTGGTGGAATTAGGAAATTAATTGCCAGACTTCCAACTAGAAATCGATCTGACGGTTCAATTTTCTGCTATTTGGTAAAAATGATTTTGGCCTGTGACGTAGATGAGTGTGACACAGAATTAGTGACGAAATTATTTCCTAGGGGACTTTTGGTTAGGCTATTTTCGCTTCATATTTACTGCAATATATATTAGTACATATTTATTGGATATACAGATAAAATTAAAGGAAAATTGAGCATTATGTACATAATCAAATTAAACATCTACTAACTTAAGGGGTGCGTTAGCTAGATAAAAGGATGATCAACTTCACTGAGAATAACTTTTTCGTAGCTCAATAGTTAAACACAAGCAGTATAAAATTATATATTTAAAACTGCAAGTCGCAAATCATTAGAATTTAATTTTTAATTTTTAATTGTAGACTGTCTTGCAACAAAGCTGGAGAGTACATGTCAGGTGTAAATAAATTAAGAAAATATAAGATTAAAATAAGTCCAACTTTAATAACACATACTAGGTTATAACACTCTAATCTATAAAAAGATAAAACACTATAATATCAATCATAACGCACATCTTGGTATAAAACGTGTTACGTGTCTGAAAATAATGATTTTAATCATACTAGAAAACAGTGTGAAATTAAAAATGATACAAGTAAAATAATGGATCTACTTGAAAGCACGAAGAACTTTATCATATATTTTCAGGCTATTATATACGTCAAGAGCTAAAACAATCACGTGTACAAGCTAATGATGATAGATTAAAAGTTGAGAAGAAAAGAATATAAATTGAAGATTTTAAAATATCAATTCAAATCGCACAAAGTTAGGAAATTTTAAAAGAACGCAACGAACACTTTGAATTCTATGTGACTCGCACAATCTACAAGAAAATATTCAAAGACGTCGTAATATGGTGATTATATAGCGTGTTAATATTTTGGTGTCGAAATAATAGCTTAGACTATCTCTGGCATTAATGGTGCCTGAGAAACGATTTTCCATGCTGTCGAGTAATTTTCTGGTAACAGCTGAACGTATAGATTGCATGGTAACCACGATACTCTGCTTCATTTCTCACCCTTCTTCTCGTGCCTTCTTCTTCCACCCTGTCTTGGATACTATTTTTCCATGAAATTATACTGCATAATTTTTTACGTCCTGTTAAACTACTTCTTTGAAAATGTTCATGACGATGGCTGGTATCAGATTCGGTGTAGATTTAAGATTTCAATTAATCCACGAAGAATCAATCTTTCTACCCTTGTATTAGCTCTTCCCGTCATACAGATCTTAGCTTATTTGAAATATCTACGTCACCTTATATATTTCCAATACGAAACGTAGCATTGATTTATTTCCGTCTAAAAGAATATATTTATACGATTTTACTTTTATGAACTTTTATAATAGAATTTTCTGCAAGTTTAATTACTTCCAATATATTACTATCCATATAATAGTATTG